TTTGGTTGTGAAAAGAAAACTACGTACAGTAAGAAAAGCGGGACAAAATGCAAGCCCGCCCACTCGCTCTATCTCAACTATGATGATATTTTTATGCATGGGCGGGGCTTATACTTTGCCCTTTTTTTAGTATACGTAATTTTCTTTTCATAACAAGAAACTGAAAACAAATCTAAAACGGAAAATTTTATAGGGAAATACTGATTTTGCACATAAGCTCTGCCCCCTGACTCACGACGAATACAAAAAATAATCACAACTGGCGTTTTTGCTTATCTTTTGGCGTTTCTTTCTTTGTTTAATATTCGTAATCCTCGTTCTACAAGAAGAAACGTAAAACATGCTCAAAATCGTAAATTTTCGTAGAGAAATTTATTAAAATAAAGGCAAAATATAAGCCCCGCCCACCTGCCCTCATCCCAATTTCGATTAATTTTTCATTCCTTGTCAAACCGAAAAGCGAAGCGTAATTGCAAAACCCATCTTTGTTTAAAAAATTACCCATTTAATAAAGTTTTAAGTCTTTGATTGTGAAAAGAACACTACATACAATAAGAAAAACAGGACAAAATGCAAGCCCCGCCCACCCGCTATATCTCAATTGTCATGATTTCTTTTTATACATCGGCGGGGCTTATATTTTGCCTTTTTTTCAGTATATGTAAATTTCTTTACATAACAAGAAACTGAAAACAAGTCTAAAACAGTAAAATTTTGTAGGAAAATACTGACTGTGCACATAAGCTCCGCCCCTCTGGCTCACGACGAATAGAAAAATTAATCACAATTGAGGTTAGGTGGGTGGGCGGGGCTTATCTTTTTACGTTCCTTTTCTTCCTAATATTTGTAATCTTCTTTCTACAAGAAGACACTTAAAACATGCTCAAAGTGGTGCATTTTCGTAGAGAAATATATCTTAAAAAAAGGCAAAATATAAGCCCCGCCCACCCGCCTTCATCCAAATTCCGATTAATTTTTCATTCTTTGTCAGACCGAGGGGCAGAGCGTAATTACAAAATCCATATTTGCTTTTAAAATTACCAATTTGATAAAGTTTTAAGTCTTTGCTTGTGAAAAGAAAACGACGTACAGTAAGAAAAACAGGAAAAAATGCAAGCCCCGCCCCCTCGCCCTATCTCAACTGTGATGACTTTTTTATGGATGGGCGCGGCTTATATTTTGCCTTTTTTTAGTATACGTAATTTTCTTTTCATAAGAAGAAACTGAAAACGAGTATAAAATGGTAAAATTTTGTATGAAAATACTGGCTCTGCACATAAGCTCCGCTACTCTGGCTCACGACGAATAGAAAAAATAATCACAATTGAGGTTGGGTGGGTGGGCGGAGCTTATTTTTAACCTTTCTTTATTTCTAAATATTTGCAATTTTCTTTCTACAAGAAGAAACTTAAAACATAATCAAAATGGTACATTTTCGTAGATAAATATGTTAAAAAAGGCAAAATATAAACCACACCCACCCGCCCACATCTCAATTCCGATTAGTTATTCATTCCTTGTCAAACCGAGGGGCAGGGCGTAATTGCAAAATCCATATTCGCTTAAAAAAATACGAATTTGATAAAGTTTTAAGTCTTTGGTTCTGAAAAAAAAACTACGTACAGAAGAAAATCAGAACAAAATGCAAGCCCCGCCCACTCGCCCTACCTCAACTGTGATGATTTTTTGTATGCATGGGCGGGGTTTATATTTTACCTTTTTTAGTATACGTAATTTTCTTTTCATAACAAGAAACTGAAAACAAGTCTAAAACGGTAAAATTTGGTAAGGAAATACTGACTTTGCACATAAGCTCCGCCCCTCTGGGTCACGACGAATAGAAAAAATAATCACAATTGAGGTTGGGTGGGTGGGTGGGGCTTATCTTTTGACGTTTCCTTCTTTCTTAATATTAGTAATCTTCTTTCTACAAGAAGGAACTGAAAGTGGTACATTTTTGCAGAGAAATATGTTTTAAAAAAGGGCAAAATATAAGCCCCACCCACCCGCCCTCATCCCGATTCCGACTAGTTTTTCATTCCTTGTCATAAGGAGGGGCGGAGCGTAATTGCAAAATCCAAATTTGCTTAAAAAATTACTGATTTGATAAAGTTTTAAGTCTTTGGTTGTGAAAAGGAAACTACGTAGAGTAAGAAAAACAGGACAAAATGCAAGCCCCGCCCCCTCGTCCTATCACAACTGTGATGATTTTTTTTATGGATGGGTGGGGCTTATATTTTGCCTTTTTTGAGTACACGTAATTTTCTCTTCATAACAAGAAACTGAAAACAAATCTAACAAGTAAAATTTTGTGGGGAAATACTAACTTTGCACATAAGTTCTGCCCTCTGGCTCACGACGAATAAACAAAATCATTACAATTGAGGTGGGGTGGGCGGGCGGGGCTTATCTCTTGACTTTGGTTTCTTTTTTAATATTCGTAATCTTCGTTCTACAACAAGAAACTTAAAACATATAAATAAAATAAGGCAAAATATAAGCCCCGCCCACCCGCCCTCATCCCAATTCCGATTAATTTTTTATTCCTTGTCAGAACGAGGGGCGAAGCATAACTGCAAAATCCATATTTGCTTAAAAAATTTACCAATTTAATAGTTTTAAGTCTTAATTATGTATCTCTTCACATAATACCTTGAAGTTTAAAAAAATAACTAAACAACAAAAATTTCGACTAAGGTATACAAATTTTCTAAAGATCGATTTTACAAATGATGACTTTTTGCACAAAGAGGTTTCTTCCTTTCTTATCTTAAGGATTTTTCAAAACTTACAAAAATCTAATTTTACAAAACGTGCGCTAAAATTATAATGAAAAAATTAGGTTCTGGAAAAGCTTGAATTTTATTTTGTTAATTTGTGCACCAAATGAAATACCCTTGAAAATGACGGAAAGTATGTTTTTGGCTTTTTTGTGGGGAGTGTAAATTATAAAAATTGACAAATAATGGGTGATATTTTTTTTACCAAAATAGTAACCCGAATTTCTAAAGTCCAATTAAGTGAAATTTACAAAAAAAAATTACAAAAAAACTTCCGCAGGATCACAAATTTACATTTACTTTCTCAATTTCTTTTCAAATAATTGAAAAATTTGATTTTTCCTCTATTGTTTTCGTCAGATATCACGACATTTTTAACGTAGTGCATATTTTCCTATAATATGCATCCCTTCAAGTAGAAAATGGTATTACCACAACGTGCCTAGTTTTAACCCAAAGCTCGTCTCCAAAATTCGAGCTTAATTTGGATTTATCTTTGATACCACACTTGAGTGGATACAATACATATTTAAGCGCTTCTGGCGTTATTATAGCCACTTTACCACACGCTAATTTAATTTACTGCACGGAAAATGAAAATTCTGTGCGGTAACGTGCACAGGCAACCCAACATACACCAGGACCACAAATTGAGTTTAAAATTTACTTTTCGTATTATAGTTCGAATTTTATTTAAACGTATGACTGCTTTTAGAATACGGTAACATAAAAATGCGATAGTTTTAAACAAAAGTTTTCCTATATTCCGTTTATCCATCCCTCGATGAGCACTAGTTCGAGTTTGGTTGTAAAGATAAATTTTATTCTAGTTAGAGCCGTAAAAATCGTTAGATATTAGTACGATCCATGTCAAAGAGCAAAGGAATTCTGGTGTGGCATTCATCTTCCCCGGTCCAGTTTCGAGTTTGTTAAATAATAAATCCCACAAATGGATTAGTTAAACAGCGAACTAACACAGAAACTTATAAGTCCTCGAGAGATAGAGCCGGCATAAAATTTTCATTTTCCTGTTTCCGCTAATATAAAACTGCACTTGAAAGTCCTCGAAATTGCCACCACATAAGTCACCCCCGCCTTATAAATCCGGCCTAGCCCAATAAAACATGTATATAATTACTATAAATTGGAATTTAATGAAACGGAAACCAATATCAGCGATCAAAGTGGTTGGTAAATCGGTGGAAATTGCTTTTATGATTGTTTCGGCGGAAACGTAGAAATTGACACCGCCAGAAGCCGCTCTGCGTGAAACACAAAACGTTTGTTGCTAGTTCAGAATCCATTATTAACAAAGTTTCGCAAATACAAATAAACTTTTCAGCAAATAATTTTAAGAGCGTCTTAAGATCTCTGCTTGTGATGTTGCGACAAATTAAATTTTAAATATAAATAAAGCCAAAACATGGAATTGTACTTAGCTGTATGAATTCTTTATAATAATTCAAAGCGGCCGTTCTACAGAGCGTGGCAAATTTTGACGGAGGATTTTCTTTGGAAATTAACTTTTCGGTTAAAAATCGATTGTCTCAGTTGCGTTATAATGCAGACGTAATTAATTTCGTTGCAACGTGAATGTGTATATAAGTTGGGAAAATTAATCTTTGCACGAGCGAGGCAAACAAGTTTAGAACCGTTAGAACCGTATTGCAGTACAGGGTGTTAAGTACTAAGAAGATTACGTTCCATATTTTATATAGTAGTAAGTTTATTAAAGGATCCGTGGGCTAAACAAATCGGTTTTTTTAAATACCAGTGACTGCGCCATTTACGCGTCCACGAATATTCCGATTTGAAAAACGGCGTTTGGGTGAAATTTAGCCACTGCAGAGACTACTATTTATTTTATCTGTTTAAACGTAAACAATAAAACACGCATGAATTAATTGATTTCGGGAAACTGTATAAATGGAGCGTATTTGTGAATTTAATTCAGTCGGGTATATCCCCAGATTTGGAATAAATTCATTGTTGAGTGTTCACCTCACGGCGCGAAAAACGTGTTTGCTTTAAGTTTTGACACCTTTATACGCTCGTCAAATGTAAATAAACGCAGTGAATGGAGGGAAGCAAGAGGAAACGTAGGAAAAATCACATCTACACTTGACATCTGAAACCCAACCATTAATCGTAAAAAGAACAACAAGCTACCACTACCCAAACCTAAATGACTAGAAAAATAAAAAATTTAAAGCAACTTACTTATTGTACAGCACTATATCGGGCCGCCATATGTGGTCCGAAGGAACGTGAAGCATGTGAACCCCCCCGTACTCCTTCGGCTCCCATCGCAGCTTATAGTCGTACCACGACTGCAACGACCACATTTAATTAAATTTAACATCCACTTTGCCTTTTAGTAGCCAATAAAACGGAATTATTTAAATAAAGATCGACGGTTTCTAAAGAGGATAATTTTGTTTATTGGTGAGTTTACAAGAGAATTTAGTGCCGAATTATTGCGACGAGGGAACCGGAATTAGTGTCTTCTGGACAATAAAAAACTCACCTGCTCCACCCACAGGTTCGTCGTCATTATCTGGTTCTTCAAGTTCTGCAAATAAAACAAACCCACATTAATAACGACAATCAGATTTGCGCTTTAATTGAATAACTTTTTGCTGTTGCTGTAATTAGCAAAGCTTGATTTAAGTCCAGGATCACCAATCGATGCCCTAAACAAAACTTTACTGGAATTAAGTCCTAATTGAAGCGGCCTAATGCTGCCGTGACAGTTTTAAAGTTGGCCGGATTTGTCCGTCAAAACTTCTAGGACACCTGTACGAAAGTTAATTAGCGTCGATAAATATTTTCCGATTGGGGTTATTCGGTGTATCGCGACGAGAGGCGTCGTCGTAATTAAATATCGCGTCAAAGTGAAATTACGCAACGAAAGTAGAATTCGATATACTTCGCCTTGAAAGATATCATTTTCGGGCCAACAGCTTTCTCTAATATTCTTATTTTTTCATTTCCTTTTTCTGTCGGTTCATATTAAAACAAGTACGGCACTTGTGAATGGTTGTAAAGGAAAGTTTTATAGAAGTCTGATTAAAGTTGAACGGGAAGTTAAATTTTGCAGATGGCGAAAGTGCGGAAAAAGTGCCGTAAGATTTTTAGTTTTTCGGGGGTTTTTCGTAATTATCGCGATATGGAGGGGCTTGATGAGACTGAGATAAATAAATCGGCAAATTTTCTGAGAGATATAAAAATTTATTTTAGTAGAAATTTATGAGGCATAAAAGCGTCATTAAGTTTAATTGAACATCAACAATTAAATATATGCGTCTAATGGAATAAAGTCCAAGACGAAGAAATCAGATGATGTGCTCTAGTGAAATTATAAAAGGGAAAAATGCCTTTTGTTTCTTACCATTGATTTTTTCTAATTTTCATGCTACGAAAACACAATTAGTGAGAGATTGAAATTTAGATCAGGGCAGGTCAGATCATATTAGTTCAGGTCGGGTTAACTTAATACGCTAAAATTATAACATACTTTATGTAACGCCAGAGGACAAAAACGAGCTCACTTCCAATTATATTTTGCCTGTTTTTCCGAAACTCAAGAATATATTTTAAATTTGTTGTAAAGAAATAAGTATTTTGCAGTTAAGTTGCGCACCCTTGGTTCACGGCGAATAAATAAAATCATCACAATTGAGACAGGGTGAGTGGGCGGGCTAACATTTTGTCTTTTTGATTTAATATATGTAGACTTCTTACCCCACAATTACAAAAACCCCATATTTCCTTGCAAAAATGTACAATTTTAAACACGTTCTAAGTTTCTTGTTGTGAAAAGATAGCTATGTAGAATAAGAAAAAAAAAACAAAATATACGCGAAAGTAAATTTCGGCTTCATTTGCAAAACCTCTCTTAATAATAATTATTTTAATTGAAAACTAAGGCTTTTGGAAAAGTTACCTAAAAATCCACTAAAAATTCTGGAATATAGATCTCGACAAATTCGTTTTCAAAATAAAATTTTTAAATATTTTTAAAAATTGCCATAATCTATTTTGGCGATTTGGAAAAATGGTAAAACTTTTCGAAGAGGTGAAACCGAAAACAGATCTTGAAGGTCGAAATCACTAAAAAATTCTTTTACACAATTTTAAACTCGAAAAAAGTCAAAAATTCCATAAAATCTATTGACAAATTGAACTTTTGGAAAAATTGCCGAAAATTCGCCAGAAATTCTGGACTATAAATCTCGACGAGGTAATTCGTAAAATGTGAACGCTACTCGAAAAAATACAAAATTTTCATAAAATTTTATTTTAAAAATTTGAGCTTTTAGAAAAGTTGCCTAAAAATTCACCAAAAATTGTGATTTTAACAAGATAACTCGAAACATGTAGTGTTGACGGTCCTGGATCAACATCTTCAAGGTATCGTTTTCAAATTCAATTTTTTGAAAAATCATAATAATTGTCATTATTAATTTTGGTGATTCGTGAAAAATAATAGACATTTTCGAAGAAATCAAGCCGAAAGTACATTTTGAAGCTTCACATCTATAAAAACTTCTTTTAGATAATTTTCATCGATGTTCGAAAAAAGTCAAAAATTTCATAAAATCTCATACTGAAAAATTGGGCTTTTGGAAAGTTGCCTGAAAAATCCACTCACGCTACTAAAACAACCGGATAAATATGTATTTTCAACATATGTTAGCGTTAGTCTTTTAGATATACCGAGTGTCCCAGTTAAAATTTCGTGAACTTATATCTTCAGAACGAATAAAGATATTAAAATTCTGTAAACACCATTGTTTTTAGCTTGAAGGGAAAAATTTAAATTAGTATGACGCAATAGTGTTTATTGCTTCTAAACCTATGGAATACCCTCAGTTCATTTTTAACACTAATTCTAATTTTTCTATTCCGCCGTGCCAAATTTCTGTTGAGTTAAGTTTCGTGTTGTGAAAAGATGGCTATGTATATTAAGAAAAAAAAAGGTAAAATATAAGCCCCGCCCACCCACCCTATCTTAATCGTGATATATATTTTTTTTATTCGTCGTAAACCGAGGGGCGGAGCTTAACTGCAAAGTCCTTATTTTTCCATGAGAAATTAAAAACATGATTTTGGGTATCGTGTTGTTCAAAGAACACAATGGAACACTTTCGTAGAGAAATATATTAAAAAAGTAGCAAAATATAAGCCCCGCCCACCCGCCCTCATCTCAATTCCGATTAATTTTTCATTCCTTGTCAGACCGAGGGGCGGGCGTAATTGCAAAATCCATATTTGCATAAAAAATTACCAATTTTGATAAAGTTTTACGTCTTTGGTTGTGAAAAGAAAACTACGTACAGTTAGAACAACAGGACAAAATGCAAGCCCCGCCCACTCGCCCTATCTCAAAATTTTCATAGAATTTCATTTTGAAAATTTGAGCTTTTAGAAAAATTGCCTAAAAATTCACCAAAAATTGTGAAACACAGATTTTAACATAATAATTCGAAAAATGTAACGTGTTGATGGTCCCAGAAGAAACTCTTCAAGGTATCGTTTTCAAATTAATTTTCTTTTTAAATTATAAAAATTGCCGTATTTACTTTTGGTGATTCCTGAAAAATAGTATAAATTTTCGAAGAAATCAAGCCAAAAGTAAATTTTGGACCTTGACGTCCACAGAAACTTCTTTTAGATCATTTTCATCGATCTTCGAAAAAAGTTAAAAATTTCATAAAATCTCATACTGAAAAATTGGGCTCTTGGAAAATTTCCTGAAAAATCCAGCCACGCTACTAAAATAACCGAATAAATATATATTTTCAACACATGCTGGCGTTAGTCTTTTAATTATACCCAGTGTCCCAGTTAAAATTCCGCGACCTTATATCTTCAGAACGAATAGGGATATTAAAATTCTGTAAACACCATTGTTTTAGCTTGAAGGGGAAAGCTTAAACTAGTACACTGTAAATAGGACGCAATAGTGTGTTTATTGCTTCTAAACCTACGGAGTACTCTCAGCTTATTTCTAACACTAATTCTAATATTTCTGTTCCACCGTAACAAATTAGTGTTGAGTTAAGTTTCGTGTTGTGAAAAGATGGCTATGAATACTAAGAAAAAAAAGGTAAAATATAAGCCCCGCCCATCCACCCTATCTTAATCGAAATATAATTTTTTTTATTCGTCGTAAGCTGAGGGGCGGAGCTTAACTGCAAAATCCATATTTCCTAAAAAAAATGTACTATTTTAAACGAGTTTTAAGATTTTAAGAATAAAAAAAATCATCACAATTAAGATGAGGTGGGTGGGCGGGGTCGATATTTTGCCTTCTTTCCTTAATATACATAGTATTCTTTAAACAACACGATACTCAAAAATATGTTGTTAATTTATTATAAAGAAATAAGTGTTTTGCACTTAAACTCCGCCCCTCGGCTTACCACGAATAAAAAAATCATCACAATTCAGAAAGGGCGGGTGGGCGGGCCTACATTTTACCTATTTCTTTTAATATGTGTAGACTTCTTTTAACAACATGAAACTTAAAACATGTTTAAAATGGTAAATTTGTATAAGGAAATACCGATTTTGCAATTAGGCTCCGCCCTATATTTGCAAACTCCATATTTCCTTGCAAAGATGTACCATTTTAACCAGGTTCTAAGTTTCTTGTTGTGAAAAGATGGCTATGTATATTAAGAAAAAAAGGCAAAATATATGCCCCGCCCACCCGCCCTATCTCAATTCTGATGACCTTTTTTATTCGTGGTAAGCTGAGAGGCGAAGTTTAACTGCAAAATCCTTATTTTTCTACGAGAAATTAAAAACATGTTTTTGAATATCCTGTTGTTCAACGAATTCTATACACCTTATTACGAAAAAAATAAAGCCAAGAATTAGGCCCCACCTACATACGCCCCGATCTCAATAATTTTCAATTGTGAGGAAATTTTCATTCGTTGTCAGATCGAGGGGCGGGGCTTAGTAGCAAGATCCATATTTGTCTACAACAATTTACGATTCTAAACATGTTTTCAGTTGCTTGTTCTCAAAAAACGACTACGTCTATTAAGAAAACAAGCAAAATATAAGCCCCGCCCACCCGCCCTATCTCAGTTGTGAAGATTTTTTTTAATCGTCGAAAACCAAAGGGGCGGAATTCAATTGCAAAGTCCCTACTATGTCTCTACAAGAAATTACCATGTTTTTGAGTATCGTGTTATTCAAAGAATACTATTTATATTAAGAAAAAATGAAAACCAAAGATTAAGTCCCACCCATACCTGCCCTGATCTAAACAGTAATGAAGTCTTCATTCGTTGGCAGACTTAGGGGCGGAGCATAACTGCAAAATCCATATTTTCTTTCAAAAAAAATTACCATTTTACACATGTTTTAAGTTTCTAAGAATAAAAAAATCATCACGATTGAGATGTGGTGTGTGGGCGGGGTTTATATTTTACTTTTTTTTCGTAATATATACAGTATCCTTTGAACAACACAATACTCAGAAACATGTTTTTAATCTCTGAAAAGAAATAAGTATTTTGCAGTTAAGCTCCGCCCTCTTGGTTGACGGCGAAT